GAGAGAGTACAGTGGGTGTCATTGTTATGGGTGAAGTCCATCTTGTGTTGTTTGAACTTGGGTGAAGCTATGTCAGACAATCGGCAACAGATTTCACAGAGCTGTGAAGGGCCCAAGTGTGTCTGGTCATAAACCAGTCAGCAAAGCTGCAGCGGGATGAAAATGTTCTAGCCTGAGTAGTGAATAGAAGTGGTCTGTACATCATGTCTGTGTCTGCTATTTACAGCCTAAAATCTTGCTGATGAAAAATATTTATTGATAGAATTTCATGCCACCGCAGCAACTCAGAGCCATAAAATCTACATTTTTACAATAGACTTGAATTGTCTGTAAATCTGTTTGAATGGTTGTAAATGTTAATGAGGCTGTTCATCACAATTCAATTGATAAGTTTTGGTTTCATATTAAAAAATCCTTTTGCGGACTCTGGCTTTGTCTCCTAATAGATATTTACATGGTTAAAGTCACAGTAGAGGCATTAGGCCAAGGTCTTCTACAATGTGATGAAGCTACTGTTTGTATAGTGCTGTATCATCACTATCATGTGATTTTTGAGGCAGTTTGATTGTGTTGTCATTGAAAAAGTGCAAATTGTGGTTCGTTTTTGACTCTCTCATGAGCACTTCTACCAGTCACAGTAGCAACTAATCAACTAAATTTACTAATTTAATTTCCACTTTTGAAGTCTCAATTTTCAATACATGAAAGTGTAGATTTTCATCTTGATACAAATACAAATTGACTCCTCAGATGAAGAGACTGGGGCTTGAATAAAATGAAGGCTGAAACTGTGTTTTACAGCAGGGCCTTTTAATGAGTAACTGAAGATGTACAAGCATGTGCTTGTTTGCATGTGTTCATTACCTGAGAGTACAGGTGCAGTCCTTTTTGGATCCACAGTCTGGAACGACACATTTTCATACATATTTCCTGAACTTTCTATCTCCCTTCTCCTGTTACTGTGATTACCAGAGGGTCTCTTTACACTGACATCGACAACCAACTGTGGATCCATGATGTTCTGAAGCTACTCAGTTTGCTCCTGAAGTCAGCGTCTACAGAGTAGGGTGATATTACAAAGTATCACTCTGAGCTGTGCTCACAGTAACACCTACTGAAAAGAAGCAGTTGTGTTCTAGCTATCGCTCTACTGAACAGGAAACTGAGGGTTGGTGGCATGAAGGTGACCACCTCATCTGGCCAACAACTTGCAGCTGTATGATGGTGTTTTCCATTGTGGTCAGAGCTATGTTGCAGAATCATCTGAGGTTTACACTTAAAACATCTATCTCAAATCTGTCTCAGAACAAACAAAAAAAGGAAGGAAACAAACAAAGAGATTGTTAAATCACTCCATAACACCTCAATGATAAAATAGTCATTTTCTTATTTCAGCACAAGTTCTTCTGGGTTGCAGTTAGAATATAGATAATAAGGCCTCTGTCAAAAGAGAACTACCACCTCTACTCTGGTTTAAGTGGTCTTTCACAATATTTAGCTCAATATCCTGATACAGACGATGGTACAGCTTAGGTTATTCTGTGCAGTGC